TATATATATATATATATATATATATATATATATATATATATATATATATATATATATATATATATATATACAAGTATTTCATTAAAGGTCCCCTGAAATGCTTAGAAACACGCAGCGTTATTCTATGTGTTGACGTCATTTTAACTAAATCAGGAAGACAGGGCGGGACATATCAAGAAGCCCCGCCCCTTTTTAAAATAGCCAATAGCGTTTTAAAGTAGCCAATTGGGCTACTTTAACACTTGCCGCATTTGGTAGTTTTGGGCTAGTTTTGAGTAGCAATTAGGCGGGTTTTGCTGTGAAAACCTGGCAACCCTGGTCACGCTTATTGACAGTGTAAGATGATTTACGATTAGCCGTGTCGGAAATCCAACCACGGACTGGCATGTTGTTATCTCAGAAACAGGTTCAGCCGTCACATTGAATTGGGTAAACTGGTTATATATTTATGTTTCAGTCTAATTACGCAGGCGGTTCTAAACCCTTTTTAGGTGGGCTTCAGCCCCCCTATCTGTCACCTTAGCCCCTCAAAACTATCTTTACGATTAGGCCAGTGCTGCTTCCTCGAGAAAGTTTTTCATTCGCACGTGTTTTAAGTCTTGTCAGTTTAAACATTAAAGTAATTTTAAGCCATTCAAGCCCAAGACATCTCAATGCTGTACGCATGCGCTGTGATAAAGCGTTTCTATGCGCACCGCGCACATGTCTGAAGTGCACAAACAGATAGCCTTCTCAGACAGCAGGTGAATACCAATGGCTGTCTTGACAAGTATCCTTGTAAGCACAGTCGGTTGTTTTAAGTGAATGTAAACAGTAAAGAAAATATCAAATGTACATCAGTATAATGGATCCGTGCATTTCTTATGTAAATAATGTTAATCAAAAAGAGCAAAAGAAAAACTGTTTGCTGCTTTAATAGATATTTGCTTTTATGTTAATGTTAATAAAGTAATTCGGTGTGACTACAGCAATACGGGGGGTGTTGGACGTTGGGGGGACGCGAGTGAAATTAGACAAACTTGGAGGGGGCACATGTTATAGATAACCCTCTCCTAGGTTCACGAAACGGTCGTCCATAAAATGCATTGCTGTTCTGTTGTAAGTAATCTTAAAGATTCCTAAATGCATCTACTTTCGGAAGGCCAAATAAAGTGCTTTTGCTTTCACCTAGAAACACACAGCATCTCCCTGACATGACTGCTTCAACTCTAACTGCAGTTACTGAAACCACGCCTTCTTTCTTTGAGAAGCCGAGCCATTTTAGGGGGGCGTGGCAGAGTCTTAACTTTGATAAAGAATATCTCTTTGGTTTTGAGACTTTAGTCTTTGCAACTTCAGGGATTTTATCTATGTACAAACAGCTTGTAACAGTCCAAAGAGAAAGGAAAACTTGAAATCGCATCGTATGACCCCTTTAAGACTAACATATTGATACTAACACCCAAAAAACTTTCATTTTTATTTCATGGGGACTTTAAGCTGTCCGCTCTACAGTACTGGTTTACCTGGCAGTGCCTTGATGCACACAGGGTCAGAGGGGGTTGAAGCAACACCAATGCCCTGGGCATTCTCTGCCTGCACACGGAATACATAAGACTCGGCTGTCTCTAGACCCTTGACCTGCAAAAATTCAAACAATACGTTTGATATAGCCATAGAGAAACACACCAGTATTCATACTTCCATGTCTAGCTGGAGTAATGGTACAAAATATCTGAGAATGTGAGTTTGACAGCACAAATCGATACCTTGAGATAGCAGTGGTTGACTGAACTTTCGCTGACTTTGCTCCAGGTATTAGAGCCTTGCTTGGATTTCTCAACAAAGAATCCAGTGATGGCACTGGCGCCGCTGTAGACAGAAGCCTTCCACTCCACCACCACCGAATCATCCCTTACTTCAGTGAAGGTCACGTCATAGGTTGGACCTACCAAAGCCAAAGATGAGGAAATCAATGCTCCAGTTCTTCATGCTTTCAATCATGTTTAATATCTATTTGGGTGAATCTCATGAAAACATGTCCACGTGACATTTCAACCTAAAACGGGGGAAAAAAGTGACTTTAGTTTCACGTAACTTAATCACCCATATTCTCAGCACTGTAATTAATCTGGATGTTTTACATCTGATTTCCATCTGAAATATAATTTCTTTGATTTTAGGGTAAAACATAACTGGAACATATTCTACACAGCTTCCATCACGTCTATTGGTCTTCTGTATTTCTTGTCTGGTCTTGACTGTTCAATACACGAATGTCGAGAGGGAAAGAGTGTCTCGAAAATGTGTCTCAAACAACAGCTCTTTGTGTGAAAACAGCTATTGATCATTTTACTCGGTTCACTTGAAACCAAGTAAGTGCATGTTTTGAAACATGTATTATTATACTATTAATACTTCATTTTGTAATGATTGTGATATAGTGCAGTGGTGGCTGGCAGCATGGTGGTTGCAGGTTGGAACCCTGTAGGGTCAATATATAGCCAAAAGAGAGCTATAGAGAGCTCATATTCCCTTTGTAGACTTTAACAAGGTTTTTAACCATGCAAACAAGAAATCTTGCTGCAGAGAATTTGTGCCTCTAATAAGAAAACTGTAAATCTGCTAAACAACAAGTACCAACGTAATGTTTGCCAAGCGTTGTGGGTTGGAAGTCTCATGCATGAGTGTGTTTTGCACACATACGACTTTTACTTCCTCTAAAGTGTTCTTAGGGCAGCACATAATCACCAAAATGCAGCATATTCATATTATGCCAAACATGTATGACTTATTTTTTTCTGTGGAAATAAAGAGATATAACTATGGAGAATCTTAAAAGAGCTCTTTTCCAGCAATATTAATTAATTGAGTTAACTAATATGAGGCAAAAAAGTAAAAATAAAAATAAACATAAATACAACTAAAACTAAATTGAGGCAAAAAAAGTACAAATAAAATCAAAGAAAATATCGTCATTGACTGCCATATGAAAGAAACATGCCAAAGATGTGTTGTCTATTTGCATGCAGATTCTCTATGGTGTAACAATGTGCTGTCAAAAGACCATTAGTTATTGAGCGTGTTACTTCAAATATGTGGAATGGAGAATAAGATTCCAGAGCTGCAGCGGAGGGAAGATTTTCAGTGACAGGGCTCAAGAATAAGGATGGCCCCCTGGCCCGGGACCAATATGAAAGAGTTTTGTGCCAGTTTGCAGAATTGTCAGTTGCCCTTTCGGGCCAGTGCTGCATTGCCAATGAAAATCTTACATTTATTGATCTTGTACATCCTTTGTTATGCCTTGGAAACTTAATCATTTGGCTTTCTGTGATGTAATCTACACTGTTGATTAAAATTCTGCTGCTTCTCCTGTAAAACTTAACAATATGGTTCCATAGCTGACATTAGTTAATTCATTAACTAACATTAACTAACAATGAGCAATACATTTGTTAAAATATGTATTAATCTTTCTTAATGTTAGTTAATAAAATACAAATATTCATTGCTAGTTTATGTTAGTTCAAGTCCATTCAATTAATGTTGAAATTAACATAAACTAAGAATAATAAATGTGTTAGAATTATTTTTCATTGTTAGATCATGTTAACTAAGGCAGTGAACTAATGTTAACAAACCTTATTGTAAAGTGTCACCAGTTCTGCTCACCAGGTAATAGCTGGTTAACATAGACATTTTGTTGAAAAAGCAAAAATGCCATAGTTTTCCAGCGAAAAAAATAAATAAATATATATACAGTGGGTACGGAAAGTATTCAGACCCCCTTAAAATTTTCACTCTTTGTTATATTGCAGCCATTTGCTAAAATCATTTAAGTTAATTTTTTTTCCTCATTAATGGCTCTTGATGCCTTGACCCCAGCCTCAGTCCATTCCTTGTGAAGTTCACTCAAATTCTTTTCAATCCTCAAAAGGCTGCAGTTCCCTTGGTTTGTTGTGCATCTTTTTCTTCCACACTTTTCCCTTCCACTCAACTTTCTGTTAACATGCTTGGATACAGCACTCTGTGAACAGCCAGCTTCTTTGGCAATGAATGTTTGTGGCTTACCCTCCTTGTGAAGGGTGTCAATGATTGTCTTCTGGACAACTGTCAGATCAGATATATATATATATACAGTATATATATGTGTGGAGTTACATTACAGCAGGGTAATTTCCAGCTTATTCTACATTTTCTTTTTTCTTTTTTTTTAAGGAAAACATTTGTAAATAAAATGTAAAACAAACCTTCTCCTTTTGTGTTGCACAGAACAAGTAGCAGCACACAGGTTTTAAACGACATGAAAATTAGTAAATAATGATAGAATTTTAGAAGTAAAACTATGTGCACATGTCGCATTACCTGGCTCAGGCATGGTCCAAGCCTCACATCTGAAGGGAGCGCTAGGGGTCGAGGCATCACCCAGTCCAATCAAATTAGCTCCATAGACCCTAAACTGGTACACTGACCCAGCTGTCAGACCTCCAGTCTTAAGAAGGAACAGTTCATCTTAGTAATTATGTTATGCATATTATAAATCAATCAATATAAGCCGATGTAACAATAACATGCACAGGATGCTGCAATACATGGCCACCTTGTGCAGTCTTTCCTTAATGGATGGGATGTTGACCTCCTTCCATGTCTTCTTGGCCACATTGCATTTGTCAATGTAATAATCAGTGACCTCTGCTCCTCCAGAATGGATGGGCAGCTTCCAGTTGAGCACCATGGATTCCCCATCACAGTAGAGAAGAGAGATGTCATAAGGGGAAGAGGGCAGCTCTGTGGAGAAGACAGATTGTTTTAACTGGTCCTCCCCATTACTCAGTGTCTTGGACTGAGAGGAACATGCCTCACCTCTGGCTTATAATATGCACATTTCTGAGAGAAAATCAGTGTCTGGAGGTGGAATATAGGAGGGTGGAATGCATCTTTAATGTAACACATTGTATATATATATATATATATATATATACTTTTATCCAGCAAAGATGCATTAAATTGATCAAAAGTGATATTTCTATTTCAAATAAATGCTGTTCCTTTGAACTTTCTACTCAGCAAAAAATCTGAAAATGTGTATCACGGTTTCCACAAAATGTTTTCAGCATTGATAATAATAAGAAATATTTTTGAGCAACAAATCAGCATACAGTATTAGAATCATTTCTGAACGATCATGTAAAAGAAAAGACGAGTGTAAAGGCTGCTTAAAATTCAGATTTGCCATCTCAGGAATAAATTGTATTTTAAAATATATGTTTTTACTGTATTATTTATCAAATAAATGCAGACAAAAGAGACTTCTTTTGAAAACATTAAAGAAATATTACAGATCCCAAACTTGTGAATGGTAGTATAAATAGAGAGTTTATTAATAAAATAGTTTCTTTTTAATTAGACTGAACTACATTTAGTAATATTTTTTGATAATTAAATAATTATATTTCTAATCAATTTCTAAGCCATCAGACTTCAAAGCATTATGGGATTGCATTCTATACAAGGATACCACGCTACCTTACAACTGGCCAAAATATCTTTGAAAGCAGCACAATCATGCAGACTGTCTCCATGTCAGAAGTGAAGCTATGATAATAATGGCTATGCAAGCAGCTCACTGGGTTTTTGAACAAAGCCTGCATTTTCTGAAAATGGTTGTGGTTGTTACAACCATACAAAACTTGCTATCAAAATGCTAGGGTGTTATGAGAGAATTTCAGGCAGTTTCTAGGGTGTTCGGGATAGTTGCTAGGTGCCTATTGGTGCAGTTCAAAAGGTTCATATTATGGTCCCTGATAATCCTTGGACCAATGTAAGTCTACGTGTTTTTTTGCCTGTTTTTGACTGGTAAATACTGTAAATGAAACACTCTCCTCAAGCCACACAAGGTACCGATAATGTCCATAGCAAAAAATGGTATGACATGAGTTATACTACATCACAGCTGCTTAATTCCATCTAATAAATTCATCAAAGAAATCATCTAATTTAATTTCCTGATCACTGTTTTGACTGTCTCTTTACTATAGACAGGCCTGCACTCTTGGGACAAAAAAGTTTCATCTTCAGTTAAATGTTTTGTTAAACTGTACTCCGAGTATGGAATTGTCCCCCTGAGTCCAAACAGAGGATTGCTGTTAGCTAAAGCTAAAGAGTCACAAAGCAAACAGCTCTACAAATCATCCAGGTCTGTAAAAATGTAATGGTCTGCTGGCTGAAATCATTTATACTTGTTGACTGAGTGTCCCACAGAGATACGGAAAGAAAAAAACATTCTGACTCATTTGGTATAAATTATTAAACCAATTTAGCAAATGGTACAAGGTTTAAGGGAAATAAAAAATACTAGGCGTGGGTGGTATGAGCATATATCTTATATAGTCTTAAGGGGGTCTGAATACTTTCCGTACCCACTGTATGTGTGTGTGCATTATCCTTGGTAAAATTACTGTAACACATTCTCTTATGGTTTCTTGCTTTAATAAACGCTATAGCAGAATCTCTACTGGCTGAAACATTTCACCACTCTGCTCTACTGTATACTAAAGAAACGTTTGATGTCTAAAATTAATCTTTTCTGCTGTGAGTGTGTGGCAACTTTCCTGAGCACTGCCTATGAATAAAGATAAATAAAGACCTGTTCCAACCTGTTGTAAAGTCATTAAAAATAGGTCTTGGGGCCATTTCTGGTGCGTGCCTTTCTTTTCGTCATTTACTACACCATGGGTTTATCAATAACAAACACATCCTGCTGAAAAAACAGCTTTTGAATGTGTTTGGCAAAAGGAAAGGGATCAAAATAAATGGTTTCTTGATGGAATATCAAAGGAGACTGGGTTGTGAGAGGCAGACTTACTAAGAGCCGCTCTCACAGAAAGAGGGGCCGATTCCTGGGATTCGTCGCTGAGGCCCAGCTCATTGATGGCTTGAACGCGGAAGACATACGTCTCACCCGTGGTCAGTCCGTGCACAACAAACCTGTGAGAACACAGTAATGAGGCAGTGAAAGAGGAAGTTTCTATTTCATTATTTAGGGAATAGCATCCTCAGAAAAAACTTGTCAGCAACACAAACTGCTGATGTAAGCTTTCTGGTTTTCCAGTGGCATTTCATGTTGAAATTTGTGATCACATTTTGCTTTTGTTTTTGCCAATTACCATATCATGCACTTTATGGCACTTTCCATTTATTTATGTCTGTGCCATTATATTGTATTAGTAAATGTTGAAATTAGCATTAACTAAGATCAATAAATGCTGTAGAACTATTGTTCATGCTAATACAGTTAATTACTGTTAACTAATGAACCTTATTGTAAAGTGTTACCATTAGTACTTATAAAGCATTAATTCTACATGACCATATTCTACACCCCTAATCCTACCCAATACCTAAACTTAACAACTACCTTACTAACTATTAACAAGCAGCAAATTAGAAGTTTATTGAGGCAAAATTCAAATAATGGTTTGTTAATAGTGAGAATTGGACCTTAAAATAAAGTGTGACTGAAAAACATGACATTTGTTTCATTTTTTTTTTTTTAATCGCTGAAGAGTGCTGGACTTTCTTCTCCTGCGTCATATTCCTCATGCAGTCCAGAGTGGCAGAACAACTGAAAGGTCTGTTTGTGCTGTGCCCTCTACTGTACAGACGTGAAGTTACATTTCCTTCAGCCTGAGGCTTATTCGTTTCACTTTTAAGGACTTTTACATTTGCTAAAATTAGAACTTTTTATATTAAAAACAAACAAGCAAGCCCAGCCCAGATGAGAAAACGTAAAACGAAAGTAGCGTAACACATTACTTTTCATAAAAAGTAACTAAGTAACACAATTAGTTACATTTTTAGGGAGTAAAGCAGTACTGTAATGCGTTACTTTTAAAAGTAACTTTCCCCAACAAAGCTGAAAACAATTTAGTTCTTAGTTCATCAATATAGTGGCACTTAGGGGTATCTTTTGCATCTTTATTGACTCACAAGGTGTTTGACCCGTTTTTCCTTCAGTTTTTGATGCCTGGGAATGAGAATGGCTTGCTCCCCTGCACTTTTGATTCCTGGGCATCTTATCTTATCTTATCTTATCTTATCTTATCTTATCTTATCTTATCTTATCTTATCTTAACTTAACTTAACTTAACTTAACTTAACTTAACTTAACTTAACTGACCTGATTTTCAGATGCTTTCATGGGAAGTGCCTCAAATCATTTAACCTAGACCAAGCTCATACCTGGTCTGCTTATGGGGCTTGTGATTGGCAGAGGTCCAGTCTTTAGATCCTTTCACACAAGAATCAATGTAATATCCAATCAGGTTATTGGGATCCTTTGGAGGCGCCCACTGGATTAGAACAGAAGTGTCTGTCTCTCTGGTTGCAACGACTTGTCCAGGAGCCGAGGGCACACCTGAATGAACACAGAATTTAATTTCAGGGGTGGTTTGACCAACCAGCCCAATCAATCCCTTGATGACCTATCATGGATGAATTAGTTCCACTACAGAAAGGCAGATAAAAAATCATTACTGCCTTAATGACAACATCAAAGTCAGAGCAAACTTCGAAGATCTATATGCCATTTCATATGCATTTCAACATGTCAATATCTTAAGTGAAATACATCATAGGCACATTGGCCTTTCTGTGACATGCCTTTTCAGGGCATTTACCCTTCAGTTGCAGGGTTGTTACAGTACTGGAGGGCTCGGAAGGCTCGCTGACGCCATACATGTTAGATGATAGCACACGGAACTGATAGTCCTTTCCCTCTAGTAGGTCGAAGACGGCATAGCGAGGAGATCTGATGGGTACTTTAGTGTTCACTCTCTGCCAGGATCCAGCTCCAACTTGAAGCTATAAAAGTCCAGAGTTAATAAAAACACACTATTACACAAATATATGTATTGTGTGGGAAATTATGACTGATCGCTTTAACCTCTCACAGAAAAAAAGTTAAAAAAAAAAAGTCACAGCTGTCTCAGCTGAAAGTTATTAAATTAATTAAATAAATATTAAAACAGAGCCAAAGACTGACAATGGATTTGCCACAACCACAAAGTCTGCAAACACACCACATTTCATTTTTAGAAGGAACGTCTGAGACAACTGATAACTGAAATAACTGAGAACTCCGTTCATTTAATATTGGGACAACATATTAAATAAAATGACAGAAAATTAACTTTTTTAATGCTTTGTTTGCATAATTAATTAACCTTTCAGCTATTCTTATTAATAAGTCAAAAAACTTGTAGAAATTGATGCTTAACAATTAAACAACTGAAAACAAATACAAAAATAAATTTGCAACCCTTTGGAACAGCACACAACTTTGCATGACTATTATTTTTATTATTGCATTAATATAATGCTACTACTACTACTACTACTACTACTAATAATAATAATAATATGCTTGTAGTGTAATATTTAGTTATTATTGTGTCAAAAAACTGAAATAATAAAAAATAAATAAAAATGGGTTATTGGAATGAAACAAAAAATGGCATTGTTAAACATAATTTTGTTTTAAAATATATAATTAAAACAACAATATGAGCTATCTCTAAGCTATGAAAGATTAACTTCTGAGAAATAGATTGTTCCTGTGGGCTGTGCAAAACAAAAACTAATTTAAAAAATATTCTTCTTAAACATTCTTACACTGTAGGTGTTTCTTAATGGATAAAAGGTGACATAAGAAGAAAAGTAAACTGCTGAAACAAAGTTTGTGACTATTCGGCTGGGTTAACATCTGGCAGTGAGCTGAAACTAACCTTCTCAATGCAATACCACATGGGGGCTTTGCTATGGTAGACTGGAGGGACCCAACTGAGCACAACATATGTTCGGTCCGTCTCTGAAGCACAGACTTTAGAGGGAGGTCCTGGAGCTTTTCCCTCGGCTGCAGGCAAAGCACATCAAACAGAATTACAGTTTCTACCCTGAACACATACCCACACACCAATACACACACATTTACACACACTAGGAAATATCCTAGCAATTTCACTAGAATTAAAATCAAGTTTAATATCATGGACTAATATGTGATTATCATCTCTGCCGCTGCTATATACACACACATACACATATGCATGCACATGGGTGACACTGGTTGATGTGTTCATTTCAACTTGAAAAAGAACCGCAGATGTCTGTGCGTTCCCTTCCTGATGGAATTCTCATCAAAAACTAATCAGTACCTCTCAGAAGAGAACCAATTATAGGCTAGATAATTATTGCTAATTTTGAAAGCAAAAAGCATCGGAGGGGGGGGGGGGGGGGGGGGGGGGGGGGAGCACTAAGTGACAGCTGCTGTCGTCTAATACATAATACCAATGTAAAGACACACAAACTTGACTGAGTGACAAAAGGAAGAACATTTTAAGGCAGATCCACCCCACAATATTTAAGGATGCAGTAAAGGGGATTTCCAGATGTCATTTTTGAGCTCTTGAAGGGCACTGAAGGATGGACATTTTTACCCTACGGTAGTGAGCAACTGGGCCGCAGCCATATACATGCAATCATCACTATAATGTAGTAATTTAGCCATTAGGCTAATGATCATGTGATCCTGCATTGATTGTCAAGAAATGAATGCATTTTGAATGTATATATAATAAATAAGGAGTTTTGTTTGTGATTTTGATTAAATTGACAGCCCTGCTCAAAAGTACTATTCTTTTTAGGCAAACCTCATTATTTTACTTAGTGCATGTTTAATATCAGAAGTAAATTTAAAGCTCATATTTGTTTTGACTAAATAATTTCCATGCTTATTCAGTTTTTGATTACTGTGTACGGCTAAAATAAAAATGTTTAATATAATATAATATAATAAACACAATTTTATAGAGACTGCATAAACAAAAAGTAATTTATACTCTATAAAATATTTTATAACTTGCCATATCTTGCCATTTTTTTATTATTATTATTATTATTATTATTATAGAAATGTCCATGACTTTTCCATTATTTTTAAAGATTATATTCATTTCCATGGTTTTAACATGCACTGAAATCAAACTTTTAAATTTGACCAATTTTTTCAGTAAATAAATCCAACTATAAAGTACCTTCAAGGTCATCATAGTAAGTCACAACGTCAAGTCTTCCACCGAGTTTTGTGGCTGTTGAAACAAACAGCAGTATATTATTAACACATACAGTGTTGATCACTAAATGTAACTTCACGAGGACTTAGTTTTGCTCACCATGAAGTCTCTCAAACTCTGTAGGGTCCAGAGAAGCAATGGGCTCAGACATTCTGGAGGGTCTGCCAATGCCGCGAGAGTTGACGGCACGTACGCGAAAGTAATAAGAGTGTCCCTCAAACAGGCCCTGCACGGGATATTTGCAGATCTTTGCAGGGGAATCGTTACACTGCACCCAGTTCTCTGTTCCAACTTCACATCTGCCCAACAAGAGTTAAAGAAAAAACATGAACAACAATGAATATGGACAGTAATCAAAATTATCCTATCATTACTTCCACACTGCTGTGAGATGATATTTCCCACTTTTGCATTCCGAGGAGATGATATGAGCTAAGGAGCATTCATACGTAATTGCAGATCCATGCATGCACTTAACAGTCTGATTACTGTCCGACTAGAGTACATTTCAGCTAGAAATGACAGGGAACAAACTAATCACAGCGTCTATTAGCCAATGCAAAGAATATGTATTGGTAAGCAATTTTCTAAGTAGCTTCATTGGAAGGGACAACAAAACTTTCTTTTGTATTACAGAGAACCTACAATTAAGCAACTTGAATGTAACACTTAAAGCACACTTAAAACTGTAGGCTTTGAGCACACTTTGTCTTAGTCAACAAAACACAAATTTATTTTAAAGAAACATAGCATACAAACACTGCATAAAAGGACGTTTTTAAACAACAAAACACAGAGTATAGGGCGAAAGCAACTGAGAATTGACAGCATCCTTTTTTGGGCCCACAAACAGATATTTGCGACAAGGCAAATATAGGTGGGACCTGTCAAACATACATTTTTGCTATTAAAAATGGTGCACCGGCTGATGAAAGGAAGTAATGCAGAGTTTCAGGATGCACTTTTAAAAACTGCACACATGCGTGAGATGCGGAAAACGCCAAGAGTACGGCGCAATGGACAAAGACGTCTGTTTAGTGCTTTTTGCATAGTAAAACGATTAAAAAGCAGAGAAGTGGAATGATTTCTCTATGAACGCCCCTTACTATAAACAGCAGTTTCAAAACAGTAATTTGCCGGTAATGTTACAACAACTCATCTTGGGAAAATTGCCAAAACTGATTTACCAGTATTTCTTAAAAGGTAATTTCCATGATATGTAATAATGTATGTATGTATAATTTACTCATTTCCGGAAGGGGATGTACTGTATGTAAAAAACCCTGATATCCTAAATGGTTTCTAATAAATATTGCATATAAAAATCTCTAAAATATCATATCCAACATCCCATTCGATTCCATTTACCGACTAGTTTCTGTGGGTGGCAGGTTAATTGCATTGGACACATTATGTTAACATTTGTCAATCAGGTAGATTCCATAATAATCCTCATTTGCATTGAAAGAAGTCCGGTTTGCAATGAAAAGTCTGAGAGTGACTTAATTTAAAAACTCTCAGTAGGCTGTTCTAGCGCATTTAGCACCTGATTATATTGCAGGTGGTATGTGGATAAGATGAACAGTTTTGCGATGAAAAGCTGCATGCTAAGCTAGTGCAAAATTCATGTTGAGTTCACAAAATCAAGATAAAAGTATTGTGACAAACCAGTTTGTTAGAGGTAATTGAAAACCTGGCTCAGAAAAAGTTAAGCTAGGGGAAAAAAAAAATGTCTAGCAGATATTTGACCATTTCTTATCTAATGCCATGACATTCAGACATTTTAAAGTGTGAAGTGTCCAAATATTTCTTGAGGCAACTGTATCAAATAACTTGCATAAATGTATTCCATAAAACAACTCCCACTGGGAAGAAACCTTAGTCAGCGCAGTCACCTGTCAACAAAGTATCCAACGATGGGGCCTTCAGTGGTGGTGTTAGGAGGTTTCCAGGACACGATGACATAATCTCTATTTGCATCATGGATCTTAATGTCCATTGGGGCTCCGGGAGCTTGAGGAACTGGAGGTGGACCATCTGCCAAGACAAAACATGATGACTCCTACACATCACTGATCCGCTGAGGGAATCACTCCGAAACAGATGTATGCGCTATATGAGATGAATTATGCTAATCCAGACCTTTAAAGGCCAGCAAAAAAATCACATAAGATTTTCAACAAGCCTTGGAAAAGTTCACAACTCTTTACCATCAACGAAGACGTAAGCCCTGTGGACCGCATCGCCTCCCTTGGTCACCATGCGGAGGGTGTAAAGACCCTCATCATCCTTAGCGAGTTGAGTAAGCGTGAGCTTGGCAACACCTCCGCCAGACTCTATTTTCACCCACCTGGACTCTTTCAGGTGATGCTCTGGAGGGCCCAGAAAAAACAACATGGGGTATGAGAGGAGAGCAAATGAAACTATTTCTTTTGTAGAATAGACTGCAGATCTGGAAAGTGTAATCTGATGATTCGGGAAATGAGATTAGAGTGAAATGAGTCATACAAATGGACATAAAAAGCCATTTTGTTCTGTGCATGACTCGACTGCAAAACACACACCTACAGAACAACCCGAAAATTAATATATGACATGGGGTGAATGTCACAATAAATGAATGCAGCTGTCATTGGTTGAATAGTCATGTAAAATACAGCAAGATATGTATTTCAGACTAACTATATTGCATTATTTATGCATTTGAAGAAGTACAATGCATTACAAATGTAGAATAAATATTAAAATAACAATAAATAGTGATAATCACCTAAATACATTTTATTCAAATATTTTAATACAAGAAAGCATCCACTTTTTGTGAACTTCCATAAACATTTTTGAGTGATGACACATAACTCATTAAATCAGAGTTATGATTCTTAACACTGTCATACTCACATATGTGAAACTACTCTAATGGCTAAATGAAAAGCATTTTAACTTTATTGCAGTATATACATTATTGCATATAGGCAAAATGCGTAATTTCTGCGTCAGTAGCTGCATAAAATGGAATAGCAATCTGTTTGTTTAAGCAGCCTTCATAAAACACTAGCTCAACCAATGATATGCATTTGGGGCGGGACATCTGTTTTCTAATTAATAGATAATAGGGAATTGAAAAGTCCATCTTTTTCACATAATTTTTGGTGCACAAAAATGACCGTTCATTTCATATTCAGCAGCTAGTATAAATCTCTGTAGGGTCGGTCACACTACACTTTTCGTTCCATTGGCTTCCATTCATACGCATGTGAATGTGCGGGAGAGCGGAAACACGAGCTCATGCTGTCACGTGTATGTTCCTGTTTGTCCTTATTTGGCTATGTTCCTGTCATCTTTGTTTCATTATGAGTTCATTAGTCTCCACCTGTGTTTGTTTATTTGATCCAGGTGTGTTTGATTTACTCCCTCGTTATGTCTTGTATTTAATGTGTCGTCTGCCCGATGTTTCTTTGTCGAGTCTGAACGTCATTTCCCGTTTCCTACATGTGTGTTCCTTGTTCCATGTGGAGAAAATAAAGTATTATCATCGAGAGTTCCTTTCCTTTCCGTCTCCTCGTTCCTCGCTCCTCACAGTAGGAAGCGTGACAGAAGACTTGACCTAGACAGAATTCCAAACCTAACAAAATAGTAAGCGGCGCCCCTTCTCCCCGTTTTGTTTTCATTTGTTGAAAGTTTTTTGTTTTCCCAGTTTCTCCCCGCGGCTATGGAAGTTGCCGCTCAGTTCGCCGCCCTAGCTCGCCTGGATCTCCCGTTTGTGGAGTATGCGTGGGAGTTCTGCGGGATCGCCTCAAGCACGGCTTTAGACGACGCGACGCTCAACTCTCTGTTCTGGATCAGGGCTAATTACCATCGCCCCGTGGACCTCCCAGACACCACTGGACTAAGTTGGAGGGAAGGGATCCTCCGGTGTCTGGAGAATTCAGAACCAGCTCGCCGTCAAGCCTGCCGGCCTCTCCTACGTCAAGCCCGTCGGCCGCCACTGACTCGGCGCTCTTGGACATGGCGCTACCTCCAGAGTTCTTGGCTCCTATCCTCCCCCCAGAATCCGCTCCAGAAAGTTCTGCTTCATCTCCACTGGTCCCATCCAGCCCTCCTTCGTCTCCTGATTCCCCCGAGTTAGCCAGCCCCGCACCTCCAGAGCACCCTCCAGAGTCAGTTCTTCCAGAGCGCCTTCAAGTGCCCGCTCCTCCAGAGTGCCCTTCAGAATTCCTAATTTTCCCCAAGAACATTTTTGGAGGGGCCATATGCCCATGGCCGTGGTGGCTGAGCCGGCTAAGGTCACGGAGGATCCGCCATAGCCTCCTGAGTCCCCTGCTCTGCCATGGCTCCCGGAGCTCCCTTATCCACCCTGGAGGCCCTCCTTGTCTCCACCTTGTTCCTGCCCTGCACCAGCCTCCAGGGCGCCCGTCCCCCCTCCCCGGTGTAACTGTTACGGCGCGGGACGCGCCTTCTGGGAGGGGAGAGTAATGTCACGTGTATGTTCCTGTTTGTCCTTATTTGGTTATGTTCCTGTCATCTTTGTTTCATTATGAATTCATTAGTCTCCACCTGTGTTTGTTTATTTGATTCAGGTGTGTTTGATTTACTCCCTCGCTATGACTTGTATGTAATTTGTAGTCTGCCCGATGTTTATTTGACGAGTCTGAACGTCATTTCCCATTTCCTCCTTGTTCCATGTGAAGAAAATAAAGTATTATCATCGAGAGCCTCGTTCCTCGCTCCTCACAGTAGGAAGCGTGACACATGTGAAGTTGTTTCACATTTTGCTGCATTCCAACTCTGACCTACGAGTTCATATCACGTGAAACCGTGTGACCAACAGAAGATCGAAACATCACGGCATGACCTCTGAATTAAAAGAACATCAATTTAAAACCGCAGCATTAACATTAACCGCACTACACACACACACACACAAAACTATTTGTCTTGGCCTTTGATGGACAATTCCTACCATCTCTGTACCACAACGCCTCAGGCTGAAGGTTAGCCAGGCTGGGGTTAATGGTCATCTTGCAGGTCAAAGTGACCTTATCGCCTTCTTTTCCAAAAGTCACGTCAAACGTCTCAGTGTAGGTGATGTTAATCTTCGTATACTTGATTTCAGGTAAAATGGCATCTGAGAAACACCAAAACAGTTATTTTCTTTCAAGACTTTTCAAATCATATAATTTATCCACTCTTTAATGAATAGAGCCCTTCACACTTACACTGGTAAGGCATCCAGGAATAAGGAGTGGACTTTTCTTCCTCTTTGCACCCTAAAAGTCAACATAGAAAGTATATAATGACTTTGTAAAGAAAGGATTCATTGTCTAAATTTGGGTAATTAATAGTTCATTTTTTTGGTTCTCCAGCAAATCTTGCTTAGATAAGCTTAGATTCCAGAAAACAGGAGAAAAAGTCTTACTCTTCACAATGATGGAGGCCTGGGAAGAAGCCTGTCCATGCGAGTTTGAGGCTACAGCCGTGTACATTGCAGTGTCATCAGTTGCACACCTACAAAAAACACGCATAACTCATTCACAGGTGTCTACAACTTCAATCAATACACGGCTGGATCGCAACACCACTTCACCCACTCCACTAATTAATCAGTCAATAAATAATCACTATGATTGTTATTTGATTGGATATACGCCACAGTCATTTCCTAATTGACATTTGGAAAGCACATAAAGTGCTTCCCCATAATGATTGATAAATTGGCAGTTAACTAATGCTCTAATGTCAAGAGGATAATTGCTCCAAACTAAATGCTAATGTAGACTAGCGGCTGTTTTCGAAACGTGTTCAACATGTGAGGCTCTGAGGCTTGAATAGCAAACACGAGATGCAAGGGACAAGAAAATGAGACGACTGTAATGTGACCTTCAGAGTGACCGTACTATATTAGAGCCCTCTCCCCCGGCCCCTGTGGCCTTGAGGAGAATGGCTGTGTGTCAAAAAGTGAAAGGATTAGTCTTTTTAGACGAATTGCGGAAAGCCAAACTTCACCTGTGAGGTTTGGGCTCTGAATGCAAGAAGCCGTCAGGAATGTGACATAAGGGCCAGGGTGAGTTTTTGTGGCACTGACAGGGTGACAGCAGTGAAAGTCATCTCTCTGTAAGGCGCCGGAGTGTCAGATGACACCAAACTCAGCACTCTGACATTAACAGCTGACAGGAGCTCAAGACGTGGGCGGCGCACCGACTGGCCCTGGACTAAATTGGAAAAGTTCACATGCAATCCCATTGACATGACTTCCTTTTGTGGAAATTCACTTGTTAGTTACATTTTATTGTGTTTTAGAGGGTGAATGTCATGAAACTTATCAAGAGCTTGTCCTTTGGGGTCAAACTGCATCGCAAAATGTTTTAAGATAATGCATTGAGAAAATTAAGAATATTTTGGAATCATTCAAATGTATGACAGTATTAGGACAAGTAAGCATATTTTTATTAATTTCATTACTGTAAAAAAATGTGATGCCTTATTTTAATTGTGAATTATTTGCACATTGTTTATGTATTTGTCGTACTTTCTTGAATTTAATTAGCTCATTTAAATAAAATGCTACATTGTTCTGAACTAGTTTATTATAATAATTACTTAAATAAAACATTTAATTGTATAGGCACAAAATAAAGAGAATAATCTCTGAAAATTGCGAAAATAAATAAATTCAACATTCAGGTGCATTACACATTTTGGGGGAATTTACTTTTTTTTTTGTATTATTTTTTTTGATTGACCTAGTGGTCAAGATATAATTATGTCACAATGCAAAATCTTACAGGATCTAAAATAAGCTACATGATCTATATGCACATTTGATTTATGTTATATTTTTTTGTTTGTTTTTAGATTGCTGCAAGACAAAAGTTTTTCAAAAGTTTAATAACTTGTAAGTCTCTTTTTTTAAGTTTCCTGATTTCTGTGGCCAATTAATAACTAGGACGTAAGCATGTAATGAGCGCTCAACCCGAGTTTGTCACTCATTCCGTTCAATACAGATAATCAGTAAACCACATTCTGTCATTGCATCACTAAAAAGTCCAACAATTGCACAGAAAAGTTCAAATTACTTGAGGATGGTGAGGGCATGGAATCCTGCATTGCTCTCCACAAAGTACTTTCCAGAGGAAATGTCCAAGATGACATCATCCTTGAACCTGTAGAATATTTGTCATATAACAACAATAAATCTTCTTAGAGTTTCTTTACACATGGTTACAAATAAAAAAAAAAATAAAAAAACTGCAACTTCAAAGTGCATTGCATGACCTCAGAAGAGATTTGAGAGCAACTGAACTGAACTTAGCGTGCAGCATGGCAGGCCTCACCATTTGACTTGTGGGGTGGGATATCCCGCCACAGTGCAGAAAAGTTTAATAGCACTGTTTTCATACACTGTGTGGGACCTCAGTCTAACCACAAACTTGGGGCCCCTGATCATGGACTCCTCACGGATGTATTTCTCAGGCATCTTCTTCTCCACCTGATGAAAAGATATAAACGAATCATTGTGCTGCTGAATCATTAAAAAGTCTGTGGAAAAAATATATGTCCAACATAGAGTCAGTCCTATTTAACCCTTGATGCCTACTACAGGTAACAGCAAATGTCTTTAAAGTACATTAAAGTACATGTTGGCTAATGAAAGTACTATAACAGCTGCATGTCAAGAAGTTTTTAAAAGGAAAGGAATAATTGTTTAAAGGGCTTTACCACTCCCTGGATTCTCTTCTGTGTTTGGTATTGATATTTCACCTCTTCAGCCGCAGAGCTGAAAACACATTTTCATACACTCATACATTTCATACATCATTTCATACATCTTCGTACCCCTTTAAAAGTACATATTACTACTTAAAAAATATGTTTTAGTATCTAAAGTGTACATATTAATACCTTTTGAAAGGGTACTGCCTTTTTTCTAAGAGTGTATAATAAAATGATATCAGTGGGCTCAAAGCATAACTCTATACAAACAGCATGAGAGAAACAGGATTCATCAGAAATCATCAACGCTTCATGTCATCTCAGGTTAATAATCCGTTTATTCATTTTGACATGCATTCAAACATACAAAAGCATATCATAACTCATGCATTTCAAGCAACACCTTTTAGGGCAGTCTTCAGTGGAAAGAAACAAGTACAACTTAAAAAAGAAAAGAAAAATCTTTACCCATGATTCACATGAATAGCTATTATAGGTTTTAACCTATAATTAAAAAATAATAATAATAATTGACCTTTTGACCCCTCAGAGGGCAAACAATAACTACCACCATCACAATGTTGCTTTGGTGTGGAATTATTTTCACTAACATAAAATGTCCTTTAAACAAATCTGCTTTTGTTCTTCTGATATATTAAAATATACTAATTTTGATCATTTTAGGGCAAGTTATCTAATTAATTTTAATAAACAAAAATAACTATATATAATAACTATATGCAATTACCATACCACGTTCTTATCCTTAAACAACCAATTTAATGACAAAGCTTATCAAACTTAATCAATGTATCTAAAATAATGAAAGCAAACTGTTTCCAGGCAATATCTGGGTATTTGCTGTCCTGTGCATTAAATATGACTGGTCAAGTTAAAGTATATACTTCAGGCCCTAAAACTGATCACCATTTATTTTCAGTTGTTTACCGTTTTAATCACTTTTTGCCTTCCTTTCAGTTTATTTGAAATGGTCCTGCAGTGTGATAAATGTAGCCTGTGGTCACTCTCTCACTAATATGAGGTCACATAAGCCGCGTGCATAATTAGAAAAGAGTTTTACACGGAGTATAGCGTGTCACACTGCAGGCCATGTCAACTTCCTAAAGTATCTCATGTCAGCTACTCAGAGGAAAGTAGTGACATGAAGGGATCATCTACTGTAGGTAATATGGTGAATTAGCAGAGCTCCAACAATGTTATTATATGTTATACATGATATTACTGTTTTATTACAAGTAGCTTTAGTATTGCCGTGAACGTCATGATTAGCCAATTAAAACTTGAACTTGCTTGATTTAAGCTGCTGTAATTCTTCAGCTTACCTGGAGTATTCCCGAACAACATATTTAGACTCAGTACTGAGGTATTCTTGACCGAAATGCTTGTGTCTGGTAACAACTGCAGCCATATTGGGCAACCCCAAGAACAAAACCTGGAACAAAAACATGATGCATTCATTGATAGATGCATATTACTGTTCTCAATTTCCTATTTCAGTGATTGACGTTATTTGGGACAGTTTGTAGTAAATTGAGCATTTGAGTGCGGTCTACTCCTGATATGATTTAGGTGTTAGGACCTGTTTGCGGAGATGAAGAGGAGGGGGCGTTCTGGAGCTTTGGGCCACAGGGAAGCCAAACCTCAGGGCAGTTTAAAATTAGAGGTTGGGGGTTGGGATATCGGACAGTCCAAGGAGATGGGTACAGTATTCCAGGGCAATTTATACTGTATACACTCTAAAAAATGCTGGGTTAAATACAACCCAGTGCTGGGTAAAATAGGGACAAACCCAGCAATTGGGCTGTTTTGACCCAGCGGTTGGGTTAAATGTTTAACCCAACCTTCTGGGTAGTAACCCAACTGCTGGGTCAAAACAACCCAATTGCTGGGGTTGTCCCTATTTTACCCAGCACTGGGTTGTATTTAACCCAGCATTTTTTAGAGTGTAGTGTAAGTACAAGGACAAGCTATTATTGTGTAAATGTACTGAAATATTGAAAGATAACCAACTTCTCATGAATGTTTAGCTTCTAATATGGAAAAATGAATTACGCTACAATACAAAGTGAAGAAAAGGGACACGAACATATTCCTCACTTTTCTTTTTGAAAAATATGAAGCCCACATACATCGCATCCACTGTGCATATCAAACATAGAAATATTTATGCACAGTTTTCAATAACATAGGCCTATTTGGCAGACGACGTGTAAAAATAAATGAATTGATCACTTTGCATAATGCATCAAGAAGATAAATATGTCAAAGGTTATTTCATCCAACAGGTCACTTTTAAGAGACAAATTTCCCACAAACAAAACAATGTCAAAGTGTGTCCAGTTCACTCATATTCGCAATGCCCTGAAACTGGTTGAAATGGCAACTTTTTATGAATGCCTTCAAAGTCAAGTGCAGCTCCCACTCAAGCAAACATCATTTGAGATAGATCAACATTCAAGTAAGGTAAAGATCAAAAGGTTCCTTCAGCCTGAACGATTTTGTATTTCCACAAGGACAACTCTGCATTATAATTTCAGATGAAAAGTGTGGAAATAAAGGGCCAGACATACTCACCCCTGGAGAATACAAGAGCGCGATGCAGAGGTAGATGAGCCTCTACCCGCCTGTGAGAGACCAGCTGATGAAAAGCAAAATACCCATGCGGAATGTTGCCTCTCCCGCATCCCATTTATGGATGGGCATTAAACTATATATAGCATTTACACTTTCTTCCCTCATCATTTCGCACAGATATTAAGATACCAGACGTTTTAAGTTGACACTGGATAGTGAATGAGTTATAAAGGGGGGGGGGAGGGAAAAAAACAAAAGTTTAGTTTAAGGTGAGTCGAATGGAAATTGTAATATTGAAATATTGTGTTAACGTAAATACATATTAATTGGTTTGAATGAGTGGGAAATTAATGAAATGCACTCTGGCCATAATTTTACATTTTTTAAAATTAATTTATTAATTTATGTTATTGCTAAACAACAGTTTTGTTTTTATTTTAGAATGTTTTGAGAGAAAAAATGTATGATCTAGATACAATGCGTGCTACTGAAGTGATCTTCTAAGAACAAACATAAATTTTTTGTGCAAGTAGCGGCACCCAACGGTATTACACAAATAACAACAGTGCTTTAAAGGGGTCATATGATGCGATTTCAAGTTTTCCTTTCTCTTTGGAGTGTTACAAGCTGATTGTGCATAGATAAGATCCCTGAAGTTGCAAAGACTAGAGTCTCAAAACCAAAGAGATATTCTTTATAAAAGTTAAGACTCTGCCACGCCCCCCTAAAACGGCTCGTTCTAACACGCCCCCACATATCTACCTCACTATGTGGAAATATTTGCGTAATGCCACCCAAATGTGCACGCAAAGAAAGAAGGCGTGGTTTCAGTAACCGCAGTTAGTGTTGAAGCAGCCATGTCAGGGAGACGCTGTGTGTTTCTAGGCGAAAGCAAAAGCACTTTATTTGGCCTTCCG